TTTGTAGTTTTACCGATAATCCTTCCTGATACTGTTTAAAAAGATAAAGTTTGTATTGAAAGGTTTAATGATTCTTTAGCTGATGGTGTGTCTTATCAAACGTGGTAATAAATGATTCGAGTTGCTAGAGAAGCTTGGAAATGACTCTCACAAATAATCAGTGATCTCAATTTTGATGATGTCTTACTATTTATGATTATTATTTACTTTCTGTTTTAAGGATCACATCCTTGCTCGCAAAACAATGGCATGTGCAGTGATTTGTGTCTTTTAAAGCCAGGAGGATACCAGTGCACATGTCCGTCGGGAATCGTTCTTAAGGAGGACGGAAAAAATTGCGACTTTGGTGAGGTTACTTATTCAAAGTTTCAACCATTACGAAGGCGGGGAGGGGGGGATTTGTTATCATTGATCGTGCATATCAAGAACTCATCTTAATTCCCGTGAAGAAGAAGAGATCAGCTTTCCAAAATTTCGAAAAAAAAGTAAAAATGAGAGCAGCAAGGTGTAGGTTATGTTCAGTGTGTACACTGTACTATGGATTTCCTACAAGTCGTTTCTGGGTTTCGTGAGTGAACTTTATTCGCAAAATAAGGTATGAAGCGAGGTTAATCATCAGAAACATATTTCTGGCTTTTATTTATTTATTTGCTGTTTTTGTTGTTGTTGTTTCTTTTTTGCCTTCAAGCTTTGTTCCAAAAGACAAGCGACGAACTTTTTTTGCTCTTCGCCGAAGCGAATCATGGTGAAATTTACAAGGTTCCTTTAGCAGTGGCGAACACACCTTGCTATCTGCTTCAAATCAACAGAAATATCTCCAGGCCCGTGGCTGTTGACTACGACCCAGTTGAGGGTAAAATCTATTGGACAGATGTGACCCTGAAACTGTTGGCAAGAGCATTTACAAACGGATCGTCAGTTGAAATCATAGCGCACACTGACGTGGTAACGCCAGATGGCCTTGCAGTAGACTACATTGGAAGGATTCTCTACTGGACTGATACTGGAACTAGCAAACTTGAGGTAGCGCGACTAGACGGATCATTTCGGAAAAGCCTTATCACAACAGGGATTGAAAATCCAAGAGCTATAATTCTAGATATACCTGAGAGGTAATCAAAGTTTTAAATCTGTTGTTTTAATTCAATTTACTCTACTTCAAACTTGTCTTGATATTTCCCAAATGAATGATACAGAGAAGAAAAATAGTTCTTAAGAACTGGAAAGTTTCCAGCTATCAGAAAAGGGAGGGTTGTCACATTTAGAACTTTCGTTGATCTTGAGAAAGCTTTTACGTCATCCTAATTATGCTTTTTTTTACACACCAATTTTAAATTTTAGTATAGTAGCTTCCAACTGGCGCGAAAGTCTTCCAGGGCGAATCTTGAAGAAAGCTGTTTCATTCGGAGAACAGATAATAATTAAGGATAGGTATCCCTCTGTTACAAGCAATACTGAAGCTATGAAGGTTATCACTAAAGATATTACTGTTTCCTGTAACAGCTGGAAAACTTTCATTCATCGTGAATTAACTATGAGAGAGTTTTTATCTTATTTGCCTGAAGACCTCAAAGTTTGGAAATGGATGATAATGATAACTAAATAAAGTTTTTTATCGATACATTGTTAAATGGTGATAAAGCACTGTGTTTCAACACTGTGAGACATTTATTTTAGACAAATGTACTGGAGTGATTGGGGATCATCACCAAAGATTGAGCAAGCTAACATGGATGGGTCTGCCAGGACAGTTATTGTAAGCTCTGGACTTGTCTGGGTTAATGCACTTGCTCTAGATTCGCAGAATAAGCTGCTGTATTGGTGCGATGCAAAACTCGATAAGATAGAAAGGGCAAACCTTCAAGGAAATAACCGAGAACTACTTCTAGATTTGTCTTCTTACAACCATCATCCCTTTGGACTTTCCCTTTCTGGTGACACTCTCTACTGGTCTGACTGGAACAGTCAGAGTATTCATAAGTACAATTTGACATCTTCTCAAAGTGACGTGTTGGTCTATGGAATGGGAAGGCCGATGGAAGTGCATGTTTATGATGAGACAAAAACAATCACAGGTGGGTGCACAGTCTGGAGTGGCTAATTCTATTGCTGCAACCTTTACGAAGATGACCTGGTTGGCTTGATGACAGGTTTACTTTAGACCTAGTAAAGTATTTTCATATCGTAATAAAATGAATCTTGATGTTGGCTCGGCGTTGTCATGACCTTTTGCCATGAAAATGATTCTCGTGTCAATTTAATTACTAAGGGTTATTCAAACGGTATTGAAATATTTGACTGAGTATACATAACATTCATATACTTGAGCAGATAAGGTTGGAGATGGAATGGAATCCCCTTTTTTCTCCAAACCCGGCATAACCGTCTGCTAGTTAAAGTGACATTGACTACACAAAGCTTTGATCAC